ATATATATATGAAGATATTTATTTATTTATATTTTGTGTAAATATCCCTTTGAAAGAAAATAAAGAAAGGTAAAAAATTTCAGATCTCTGGTATTTTCTAATTCCTCCTAATCATGAAAAATTTAAATATCAGGATTAAATACAGGCTTTTTTTGAAGTTGATAATAATGGTTTCTTACCATTTAATTAGTATTACTGTAGGATTTCCTTTTTATTTTTTAAAGTGATTCAGATTAGTCTTTCCCTTTCAATACTTTCACTTGTTCATATTCTCCCTCTAAAGTAAATCACAGTATATTAAACCTGAGTGCCCGCAGCAGGCACATTTGCTTTTGATTATGTTCTTTACCAAGCCAAACATGCCACCACAGGCAGTGCCATGCAGTAGACACATACACACGGGCCTGTTTGAGGACCGTGCCACTCATTAGCAACTTCTTAGCCTCAGTTTCCTAATCCCTAATGTTGATGTGAGCTAAATAATCTCTTGGCTCCTGTCCAGATGTACAATGGCGTAATTGAAGAAGTCTTCAAAGTAGGAGGTTCTCTTACTGTATCTAAAATGAGAGATTATGTTACAGATACTCTGTGTTTCCAGAATTTCTATTGCATAAAGTGAGTAGGTTCCTATTGCAAGAGACAACTTCTTCATGAAATTTTTAAAAATAAGACATGCATGTATTATAAAGATACCATTATTCACAGGAAAATGCTATCTTGGGAAAGATAAGGCAACTGGTTTAATATGATCTCACTTCCGAAGTCACATGCATGTAGGTACAATATTATTTCCTATTATTTTTTCAATTATATAAAGTGGTAAGTACCTAGTAGAATAAAGTAGTTGTTTTTTCCATTGAGATTAGCTCTTTCCTTTTAATTTCACCTGGTGGGGAAGGTTCGCTCTCTTACATGTTAAGCTTTATAAAACACTTTGTGTTTTCTGAACAGAGTCTTGCTAAGCTGCAGGAGCGGTTTCATTTGGATCAGAACATTGGCAGATCTGAGCCAGATTTGAGATCTAGTCCTGTGAACTCTCATTTATCCCTCTCCAGACAGACCCTTGATGCTGGGTCACAAACAAGCATTTCCGGAGATGTAAGTTATCAGTGTTGAAGAGTTGGTCCAGTGTTGTCCTTGATGGGCCTTAATTGCAATGTGGATGGTGAACTGAAACCAGAAGTATATGTGACTTGGATTCTGGCTTTGTGCATTGAGTGTTTCATTCTCGTAAGATTAGTTTTAAAAATCATAGTCTTATCTTTTCTGTCTAGGTGCCAAGCATATCAGGATTTGTCCATCTGAATAGCTGTGTTCAAACTTTCTCATGCGGTATTTCTTCAGAGACACATGGAAAGGCTAGAGGCGTATAAGAATTTAAGTTTTTCCTATTACATTTAGAGTCTTGGAAATTTAGTCCTTTCAAGTAAACATTAGGCCAATGAGACATAGAAAAACATGCCTTTTAAGACAATAAGAAAACTTGTTTTTATAAATCTGAGTTGATTATATTAAAATGTTTAATTTGTGATTTATATCTGCCCTTTAAATATTTAATGTGGCTTGGCTATTGTTAACTATTTTACCTTCTCCATTTTGGGATGCCATTAGCAAGTATTTACTTCTTAATACATTCCCATTTATTTTCATATTTTCTTATGCTACTTTGAAATATGTGCTGTGAAAGTAAACCAGGTAGAGGTCAACTGTAGGGCTTACCTGTTTGAAAATTAATTTTTGAATTTATTTAGTTTATATTTTGTACAGTCGAAAGCTAAATGATAGAAATTAGGCTCAAAAAGGCAAAGAAATTAGTTCCAGTTCATAAATTTTATTGACCTGTACACCCTTCATAAACTCTAAGATATCAGACACATTTACCTTGGTATTTGCAATATCAAGATTTTTTCAATCTTGAACTTAACAAATAGAGAAAATAATGTTAAAGTATTTGAAAAACAGATGAGCTTGAATTGAAAGAAATGTTTTGCCCCTACTGAGACAATAAAGTAAGTGTCTTTTAAAACTGATGTTTCCCAATTTCAATACTATCTTCTTTAACTTTTCAATTACACATACTTCCTAGAAACAAAAGCAATTTACTTCATTCATTAGCAGAGTTAATTGACTTTTTCCTTTTTTTTTCTTTCTTACACTAGATTGGAGTGAGAAGTAGATCAAATTTAGCTGAAAAGGTCAGGCTAAGCCTACAGTATGAAGAAGCCAAAAGAAGGTAATGACAGAGAAGCTGTTTTGTGCATGGCTCCAACAATTTCTTTCTCAGAATCAATCTTTACTCCTGTGGTGACATCTGCTGGGCACTTCCCATACATTCTTACCAAGGTTACCTTTGGGTTGTTAGCACGTAAGGGTTGCTTCGTCTCTGGTCTGCCTTCTCTTCCCCACAACTCCCCTCCACCCCTGCACCGTCAAAGCTGAAGAAGAGGGAGAATTAACGAGAAGTGTGGGAATGAAATTGCCTCCTTCTCTTCTGAGAAAAAAGAACTTTGAGTTGGTACAATACCTAAATTCCCAGTTAAAAGTGAGAAAATGGGTTGCTTTGGTGGAAGCATGATACAGTGGTTCAGGTAAAGGACTAAATAGCTGTTGAGCTCTAAAGCAAATAAGCATGTCTCTTTGATTTGAAGGGAAGTCTTACTGCTAATGTCTTTGAAGGTGCTGAGGTGTCAGTTCCAGTCGACTTATTTAGGGAAAAGGAAGAGAGATTGTTATTTCTCTGTTTTACCTCATAAACTCTTCTTAACCCCTGTGCTATCTTTTTCTTTCTTTGTGATTCTGCTGGAGTGAGACATAAGAGACTTTACCATCTTCATCTGGCTGATAGACTCAAATATTTTTCATAATGTAGAACTCCTTATTATGAGGGAAAGGATTATACTGATACATTTGATTTCATTATTTTCCTCATAAGAGCTTTAAAATGCTATTAGGTTATTATTTAGGACATTGGGAAAAACTGCATTATCATCCTGCAGGAAACAGGAATTTGTCATGTTTCTCCCCATGAGTGTGAAAAGCTCAGCTGAGAACCAGATACTGAAGTATATTCCTTATTATTGGTGATGATGATAATTTAAAAGCAATTGACTGTAGTCCTTGGAGGTTATCTGGCTTTAACAAAGCAAAATAAAGACAATATTCACCTCTCTGTAACCTGTGTTCTTAATATTACTTGATTCCTCACTTCCTGAAAGAAAACTAAGCTTCATTCCATAAATTATTAACCATGTGAGCTTGAACAAGTCACTTAGTCAATCTGAACAGCAAATTACTCAGCTAATGTTAATGCCTTTAAAGTTTCTCTGGCAGATTTTAGATTTCTTCAGGGTAGGAAAAAAATTGTAGGCTTTATTGCCTCCTTCTCAGTGCCCAGATTCATGCCTTCCCTTCGATGAGCATTGAGGACCAACTTCGGGTTTTGTGGCTTGGTAATGTACCAGCTTTTGGTAGATACTGCATGCAGTCCTCTTGTGTGTCCACCTGGGCTGTGCTGTGGACAAATCCATGGTTTAGGTCTGCTTTTCTCAAAGAGAATGGCCGTTACTCAGAAGCAGTCTTGGAGAACTGGGCCCTACGCCCCTGCATTCTTTTGGGTTTGACTCTGCTTCCCATGGATCAGCTTCAGCTTTTACCCTCCTTTGACTTCTAAGTTAATTTTATTTGGAGCTCACATGGCATTTCTTTTCCTAAGTGCTTCTAGAAGTCTTCTTCATGTTCTGCTCCCCAAATTCGGCACACCCCTTCTAAAATAAAATTTAAGACCTGCCTAATGTCTGATCACACAAATAATAAACAGGCACCTCTTTTTCCTGTATTATGTTGTTGCTCCTGGTTCAGTTGGTTAATGCAATCACATCAGAACTTCAGACACTGGTTCTTTCCCACTTGTTTGCATTGCCATGCCATTTGGGGTTTTGTTTTAAAGTTACTAGTGATGTCGATGAGAAGGTAAATCTCAAGGGCTTACACATATGTTGAAAATATTCTTTCCTCCTTGATTTTGAATAAGTAAAGAGGCAGGTTGTGTTTCTATTAATTCTGTTTTCTCATCCAGCCCTTGTTTTATGTGCTTAATGAAGCTAATAATATGCTTATTTAGCATTTTGATGATTAATTTTCTAGTACGTTGAGACAGTTGTTTACGGTTTGTGGTTAAAGCTGAAGAATAGCTGATGTTACATCTATCATAAGCACAGACGGTGGGAGAAAATCAGAAGTACACTGCATATGCAGAGCCAGTCTAAGATGGCAATTTTAGTTTTAATTAGAACAAGAACCTTATGGCACAAAGGTATGGATCTAATTCCATCTTTGCTCTTGATTATGTTTTTTGTTCACCTTTTCTCTTCCCTTCTACAATTTCTCCCATGAAAATGGGAAAAAATTATTTCTTTTCTGTTTTTCATATTCTGGTGTGTGCTATAAGAATATCCAGAGTAATCATCCAACATTTTTCTGTAGGAACGTAGATTCCTTGTGCAGACATCAGTTGAGTTCCTAGTTCGCTGAGATCCTGTCCTCATGGTCGAACGAACCATGTGCCGTTTACCTTGTCAACAGGGCTGATTGTCTTCACAGTGCCACGTAGCAAGTTATTTGACTCAGGTGGTTAGGACGTTCGTACTGAGACAGGAGTAATGTAACTCTACCATGTGTTATGAAGCTCTAGACATAAGAGAAATCTGGGGTCAGGCAAAATTATGGAACCAGTGAGGTTTGCCTTTGGTGCATTTTCCTCCTCCTCCTCCTGTCCCTGTCCACATCACTTCAGCACCTGTTGTCACTCCAGTGGTGTCACACCAGCTGCCTAGTGAAGTTCCACCGTGTGCTGCCTGCAAATAGCTGTGTACAGAGGAACCACAGGGCGAGCACAATCATCTGTAAAGCATCAGTGCAATGAGTGCTCAGTAAATGGCTTGTATACCAGTCAGGGCACTGATGGGGAGGAGACTCACCTGCAGCTTAAGGAGACTAGGACTGGGAGAAGGCCAAGCCCTGCCCCTTCTCCATGGCGATGGGAGAGCCTTGGTGGATCAACCCTTGACTCCCTCCCAGGGTCTTGTTTTGTCACCCAGGCAGGAGTGCAGTGGCACAGTTATGGCTCACTACAGTCTCAAACTCCTGGGCCCGTGATCTCACTTTAGCCTCCCGAGGAGCTGGGACCGCAGGCACTCACATCACTACAGCTGGCTAATTTTTAAAAATTTAAAAAATATTTTTGGTAGAGACAGGGTCTCACTATGTTCCCCTGGTTGGTCGCGAACTCCTGGCCTCACACAATCCTTTTGCTTGTCCTCCCAAAGTGTTGGATTCCAGGCATGAGCCACGGCACCTGGCCCGACTGCTCCCATACCAGTTGGTCACACCACTGCTCTGTTTGCTGCCCCCTTCTTCCCTGACTTACTCACACCCTAGTCTCTGGCCAGCCTGCTCTCAGATTCTTATTTCACTAGCGGACAGCATGTATACACAGAGGAATAATATTTATAGTAATGGCATCGCAGACATTATTGACCTCAGTTTTTTTAAAGGGAACCACCTAAGCATCTTTCCTTTCACCTGCACAGGCAGTCACATGTCAGGGCTGGTCTCTCGTGGCCCCCAGAACGCTCAGCTTTTGAAGCCTCTGTGTACTTGGCCTTGATGCTTTTGTCACATAGCCGGGTGTGCTCACTCACATGTTAAAGATGGGGAAAGATGTGGGTGACAGGGGAGGGCGGGGTCGGGCCCAGACACTGGCGTGCAAGGGTGCTGCTCCCACTATGGCCTCTCACCAGTACACCACACCCCTTTCTGGTAAGGTCAGGTTAGGAAAATCTGGACAGCATGTCAACCCCAAATTTGGCCTAGGCTGTGTTTACCTTTCTTGGGAGTTTTAAGTATGTGCATACCTCTTTTATCTCTTCTTTTAGTATGGCCAACTTAAAAATTGAACTGTCAAAATTAGACAGTGAAGCCTGGCCCGGGGCACTGGATATTGAGAAGGAGAAACTGATGCTGATTAATGAAAAAGAAGAACTTTTAAAAGAGCTTCAGTTCGTCACCCCACAGAAACGTACCCAAGATGAATTGGAACGCCTAGAAGCCAAGAGGCAGCGGCTGGAGGAAGAGTTGCTGTCGGTGAGGGGAGCACCAAGCAGAGCTCTGGCTGAGAGGTGTGTTTTCCTTCTGGAAATAGCGCAGCTTAACTCTTGTGGGGCTGTCTTAACTGGATACGATTTTCCCTGGGTTTGGAAATCTCAGTTGCATCTGTTCTTAGTGGACTGAGAAACAGCACAAATGGACTTTGCATAGAGCAGTCAAGTCCTAATGCCCCGCAGGATGAGTTCTGTGTTTGTTAGGAACGTGCAAATGCCTGTGACAGATGTTGAATAACTGAGGAATGCTTACATCAAACCAGGCGTGGACATCATTGATGAAGTCTGATAGCAACAGCTATAAACTATTGCACTCTGGTAAGAAAGATTATCTACAGTTACAGCAATGAAGCTTCCTGTCCTGGGTTTTATCACTCACAAGAATGCAAAAGCTTATTGCTGTTCATTTCATAAGGAAAAGACAGCTTGCTACCTGTGACATCCTAACAGGTCGCAACATACTCACTCGCATTTTGTTTGTCAGTTGCAGCCCTCCTGTGAAACAGGCGAAACTGTAAGGAAAATACTCTAGGCAGTCTTCCTATCTTTCTGTGGGAAGGTGTGAGTTGATTATTTCATCTAAAAAATCCAGTTCTGTAAAAAGATGAGCTGGAATGTTAAGTGAGGGGACCTCTGTGTGTCAGTCTGACATGAACGCATCTGCATAGGAGCCTGTGTCCAGGCCTTGATGGCAGAAAGGGTTGTTTACCTGTTTCATGACAGACCACAGAGCCCTTGAGAACCACTGCATGTACATCCTTTAGGACAGTCAGTAAAGAGCAGTGCCTGTTTCAGAGTGATGGGAAAGATTCACACTGATAGAATTTCAAGTGACCTGGAAGTAAGTTTAAAACACCCAGCCTTAATCCAGTTGCTTAAAAAAAAAATTCTTGGCTTCTTGCCTTCTAATTCCTTTTCCTCAATAAATGTTTAAGGTTGCGTGTCTACATAAATGTTAAAACATTTGAAAAGTGGGGGGAGAGAGAGAGGAAAAAGTCTCTGACATTCCCCGTTAGGTGTTAGCATGGGGACTCACCCAGCCTGAGGTTAGCCATTTTGGGAGAGTTGACGTCTGTGGGTTAAAATGTTGATCAAGGTAACATGCAGCCTCAGTGTCATAGCTGTAGGGAACATGAAAATGTATCAAAAGGAAAAGCCTCTGTGAACTATATTCTTCCACCCTCTTAATAATACTCATCTTCGCCCCCATTCCCTCTTCTTTTCTTCCCCTCTTGTTCTGGCTTTTCTGTCTAATTGTGTTGACCAGAGGGTCAGCCTAAGGAAGTGTCAGGCAGGCTGGCAAAGTAAGGCCCCATCTGACAAAGACCAAAAAGAACAAAAAGAATAAGAAGGCAGGGCAGAATTCTTTTGTTTTGTTATTGTTTTGTTTTCTGAATTACCCTGATATGTCTACATTTGTGTACTTAAAGTTTCTAGGATAAACATGTAATAGTCATCAGTAGCTATGATGAAATGGGTAGTTTTTATGTGGTCCGTGGATAAAGCACCAGTGATGTTTGGTACTGCTACGTAGAGCTTAATAAAATTTTATATAATTATATATGTCTAATTGGTGAATCTAGGAAGGAACTATAAACAGATTTGTTCTGGCAGAGAAAGAAAATATGTTTGTTTGTTTTAATCAGCTTTTATTGGGGTGGTGCTTGCCTTTTTTATTAGGAGTAGAGCTTCCAAAAAGTGACTAATCATGTAACATTAAAAATAACAGTTTGTTCCTAAGTACCTAAACTTTGACTTTTTCCCAAGTACCTAAACTTTATATGTTTGTTTGCACACACATAGTAACTTAAAATTCCAGCAGAAATACTACGCTTCTTTCTTTTTTTTTTAATGAAACACCCAAGAGACAGTAGATTTGAACTCATTAGGAAGAAGAGGTATAAGATATTTTTATAAAAATCATGTATTTACTGAGATCCAGCCACTGGGTTTGTGTCATATGGGGAGTAAGTGGTATGGATACCCCCTTGGCCCTGTCTCCTACGATTGAATGTTAGCAGGAAGGGAAACAGATGTATTTTATGTATGTAGTATGTGGACTTTCTGAATTACTTGGAAGAGCCAGGTCGTTTAGTATTCCAAATAAGTGGATACTAGTTTCCTTATCAGTGTCTATGGCCAAAGGCAAATCCTCATACTTAAATTGCCATCAAAGGTTGAAGGACTCAGACATTCTCCCTTGATCAACTGAAAGTTTTCTAACTCCTATCCTGGGATGCTCAGAGTGACTCGGTGTTTCACAGGTCCGGAAGAGCAGAACCTACTGCTATTGGGAACACTGAATCCTTTCTTTCCCAAGTAGATACAGCCCCGTCTGGCCTTGGGTTTTACTGTTGCTGTTCATGGTTTTGCCTTCTGTTCCCCCTGCTCTGGTATTTTTTCTTATGCTTCTTCCTACCATGTCTTCCTACTTTGCGTGTGAGTTTTTGCTCTGCTCATTGCTGCTGTTGCACTGACGCTGGGACTTTAAGAGGGAAGAGAATGCTCTTGTCAGCAGTGTCTCACCAGGGTCAAAGCAGGGTTGGCCGGAGCTTCTTTTGGGAAATAGGACTCACTGTGTGAAAGTAAGTTTCATCACAGAACAGATTGTGTGCCACCAACCCCAAATCCTTCCCTTTCTTCTTGGTACCTACATGTCTGTCAAAGCTGCCTGCTACATTCCTCAACATTTTCCTGTTTTCCACTTAAGTTTGGGGTTCCCCATTATTTCACGGGTGACCTCTGGCAAGATTCTGAGTCATTACTGAATGTTGGTCTCCGAAAGAGCTAGATGCACATGAACTTTCAGCCTCTGAGTGTGATCCTCCAGCCCCCCAGCTCCGTTCCTGCCCCGACAGGCTGCAGCGTCGCCCACTGGGCCTGAGGGAGCGACTGTGCTCGCCACCTGGTGGTGGGAAAGAGGTGCTCATGGTGAAGGATCACCAGGCCAAAAGGGAAATTGCTCGCAAATGAAAAAAGCCTTGCAGGAGAGGTGTTTCTGTGCATCTTTCGTATTCTTTCCATGCAGTTATTGAAAGTTCTTAAACTCTGTGCTTTTCTATAGCTGGTAAGATCTTAATATTGCTCCTTGTTTTTTCACAAAGTTTGGGGGTTTATGTTGTAATTGCCAAGACATCTTAATTGTTTCTTAATTATTTGAATGTTTTTGCCCCTGCTTCTGAAAATTTTTTTAAAGCAAGTAGGTGAGGGTATGAGTGTCATTTAGTTTTGAGTGGAAAAAAGACTTTCTGCTTCTATAGATGACATGAAATTTTTCCTAGGTGCAGAGTTCTGAGTTCAGGAGAAACCAGGCTGTGCTTGTCTCCTGCAGGGCACTGAGGGCAGAGGCAGGCAGGTGTGAAGGCCCACACTTCACAAAGGGCAGCTTGAAAGGAGATGTGGAGCCGCTGGGCCCGGGGGAGGACTCTTTTAAGGGCCAAGTAAAGGAAACCCTTTCTCACTCAGCAGACCAAAAGGCAGGAGCTGGAGAAGAACTCAAGAGAGACAGGTGTGCACCCTTTTCAGCGGTGTTATGTCTGCAATATCTTCTAAACCCTGATTACAGGGAAGTGGGGGAGGGTGTTTCGCATGAAATACACCTGGATTCTGAGTAAGACTTCGGGCTGTCACTAGGAGATGCTTTGGTGATCACACAGAGACCAACTGTGGCCCACTGGGAGGGTATCTGTGCCTGTCCCCAGTGCCTCCCTCATGCTTCTCCTGGGGAAGGTTTCTTCTCAACACCAGCAAGAACGGAGGGACTGGCGAGGTCACCCTGTGCTGCAGGGAAAAAGGGCTGATGTCTGCCTTCTGGGACTGTAGGAGCTGACTGGGAAACGGGAACAGGAACACAAAGACCGGCATCTGTAGTTCAAAGCAGACATTAAAGGGCTGGAAGAGCAGCTGTCTAGTGTCGCCTGGAGAAGGCTGAGGACGCCCCCTAGTGACAGGGAAGAAGCAGCATTGAAAGTTTCAGTGTGGCTCAGGGTCATATTCTGATGTCATCCTGGTGCCTCCTGAAAGCACTAGAGAAAGTCTTCATTTTAATAAAAGTAATATTGAGTTTTAAAACTTACTTCCAAAGTGTTTCTCTGGTTTCAGAAGACATGGATTTTAGTAGAGTCGGGGTCTTTCTTTAGACCTTTGTGCACCTTTTAATTCAGTCTACTTCATACTACTTTTTTCCTTGTTGAGTTTTTGTTTATATTTGAAAGATTTTAAAAATGCTTCTTTTAAAAATGCACCTTTGAAAGCCATGGATTAAGAATTTATCATGCTTTTGAGGTATTAAAGAAGATGGCAAGAATTACTTTTTTTAGTTTAACATATAATGGAATAGTGTTGTTGACACATCAAAGGGATGGATACCTATAAATAAAATATGGGCATGTCTTCTTACTGCCGAAAACATGTATAACATTTCAAAGAGATTGGAAATTAAGGAAATGTTATTTTTCTCCAAAGAAAAGTGGCTAGTTTTTATATCACCACTTTGCAGGGCATGCTGAGTCTTAGAACGTCAGATTTTTCTTCTCTGTGGAGCACTTTCCCATACATTATTTCATTGATCCCTTTAACAGCCTTATCAGGGAAACACTGGGGAATTACAGTCACCATTTTACAGCTGAGAAAGGTAAGACCCTTGAGTCAGTGACTTTCCCAAGGATATGCAGCTAGTAAGCCGCAAATCAAGACTGGAAACCCAGGTGCCCTTTTTCTGAATTCTATTCTGCTGCTCACTACTCTGAACTAGTTTATTTCAATGATGTCTAAAGACCTTCATATGACATAGACTGTACTTGCATAGACTCTTAGTTGCATAAACCCCTAGGTACTTAGTATATTTTTAAATGACTTACTATTCAAGTATACAGTTCTATAATGCTGTACTCTAATTTAAAAAAAAAAAAAACTTTTGCAGTTGAACGTGGATGAAATTTTATGATAATCCGATGCAGATGATGAGATGTGCTATAGCTTGGAAGGAAAATCACTTTTAGGTCATCTTCTTCCTTGAACGGCTCAGCCTAAATTAGCCCACAATGGTAATGTGGACTAAATTGTTTCTTAATTGCTGAAATTCTTATCAAATTAGGGCTGGAAATGTTATCGCTAAATATTATTTTGGAACAAGCTTTACTGAATTCGGTATTTAGGATGACCTTTACCATTGCTGTGAAATGTTTTAGGAAAGGATTCCCAAGTCACAGATCTGTGTCAGGATGCTTAGTCTTTGTTTAGTTTTTTGTTTTCATGGTTGTTTTCCTCCTCACTCTTCTTCCCAACTCAAAGGACCATATTATTTACCCATTTAAAAAGATTCTAGACTACCAGCAATTTTAAATTCTCAGTAACATTGATGATTTGAATAAGCTCCCCATTCTTTAGCCTGGCTGCATGCAGCTCTGCCGCCGACATGTCTTGCTGGGTGTCCTGTTTTCTGTCTGTGGAGTCCATTCAGATTTCCCCCTTGTGATCTGTAATGTTTGTACAATAAAAAAATCTCTCTTTTTAGTTTTCATGTTTTGTTATATTCATTTGAAAATGAATTAATTTCTTTTTTTCTTCCTAGATTGAGATTGGAAGAGAGAAGAAAAGAGCTGCTACAGAAACTTGAAGAAACTACTAAATTAACTACTTATTTGCATTCACAACTTAAAAGGTGAGCTTATCAGATTTTTGAGGTGAAAACTTTTAATGTATTCAGGCATATTCATGTTCATCTTTGATTACTTTTCACTTTATTTCCAACTACTTAAAAGTAAATAAAATCGACCGGGTGTGGTGGCTCAAGCTTGTAATCCAAGCACTTTGGAGGCCAAGGCGGGCGGATCACCTGAGGTTGGGAGCTCAAGACCAGCCTGACCAACATGGTGAAACCCTGTCTTAAAAAAAAAAAAGTAAATAAAATCATTATACTAGTACAGTTAATATTTGAGTGATCAAATTTAAAGTCACATTTTCTTTTGCATGAATCCAGTGTCATTTTTGGAGTATATTTGAAATATGTTGTAGGAAGAAGATACGTTTTAGCTGTCAAAACATGCTTAGGAAAATAACACATTTTCACTATTGCCCCATTTTTTAAAAAGGGAAAGTGGGGGAGTTTTGCCTTAAAATAGCCGTAGATTTCCTTACATTGACTAGAAAAATATTCACTCCTCACATTGACACATACAGAGGAAAGGTGAGTGAACCCAAGGGTCTTTTGTATAACCCCTTTCTTTTTATAAGCTTGCCTTCTTTTCTCTAAACATAAAAAGCTTTTTTTTTTTAAATAAGAAAGCTACGTTAACACCTTTGCCCTGTTTCTTTTTTTATCCGTTTCAATATTTTTTTTTAATTGCAAAGTGGCTTCTAGATGTCTGTGCCGATAAACTTATCAACAGGTATTTGATTCTTTTTATTATTATTATCATGTTTGCAACAGGAGGATAATGTTTAATAAGAATAGATTTGCTACTTAAAGAGTATTTAGAGAACAGGGATGAAAATGTTAGTGAATAAGCACAGACATGGTATACAATTCCGTACCGCATAATTACTTTTTGGTCAAGGACGGACTGCATGTGTGCTGGTGGTCCCTTAAGATTATAATACTGTATTTTTACTGTACTTTTTCTAGTTTAGCTACATTTAGATACACAGATGCTACCATGGTGTTATCATTGCCTGTAGTATTCAGTACAGCAACTGCTGTGCAGGTTTGTAGCCTGGGAGCAATAGGCTATACGTAGCCTATCTATATGTAGCATAGATGTGCAGTGGGCTGGACCATCTAGGTTTGTATAAGGACACTCTTCTGCACATTGATGAAATCACCTAACCATGCATTTCTCAGAACGCAACCCGGTCATTAACTGACACATGGCCGTGATAGGGAGTTCCTCTGGCCCTGGGCATTGATTCTGCTCTATAGCAGATTTCTTCCCTCTGCAGATCTGTAGGAGCCAGTAGGGATTGTGATTAGGTTTTCCATTTTGCAACAGATTTTATGGTGTGTACTTTTCATCTTTCAGCCTCTCCGCCAGCACCCTGTCCATGTCATCTGGGAGCAGCCTGGGTTCCCTGGCATCAAGTCGGGGCTCTCTGAACACCTCCAGCAGAGGGTCACTCAACTCCCTGAGTTCCACTGAGCTTTATTACAGCAGTCCAAGTGATCAGATAGATGTGGATTATCAGTATAAGCTGGACTTCCTTCTGCAAGAGAAAAGCGGTTACATTCCTTCCGGACCCATCACCACCATCCATGAAAATGAGGTGGTCAAGTCCCCCAGCCAGCCTGGCCAGAGTGGGCTCTGTGGGGTGGCAGCTGCAGCAACAGGCCACACTCCTCCACTGGCTGAGGCCCCCAAGTCTGTGACCTCCCTGTCCTCGAGGTCCTCCCTTTCCTCCTTGTCTCCTCCGGGCTCTCCCTTGGTTTTGGAAGGCACGTTTCCCATGTCTTCTCACGATGCCTCTCTCCATCAGTTCACTGCTGACTTTGAAGACTGTGAATTGAGTAGCCATTTTGCAGATTTCAGTCTCGTCGAAAGTCAGATCTTGCTGGATTCTGATTCAGGAGGAGCCTCCCAGTCTCTTTCAGAGGATAAAGACCTTAGTGACTGTGCTAGGGAGCCATTGTATGAAGGAACTGCAGGTAAATGCAGACCTTTGCTTTCATCCCTCTTGGTGAGTTTAAGGAGAATGATTGGAGGGTTATTTTTCCATATAAACAAAGGGTGTGATTCCTCTTCTCTTTCTTTTGATTAATTGTTTTGGCTTCATTTAAGGAGTTTTTATTTATATACCTATTTTTCATTATCAAATAAAAATCACCTTCCCTATTTAATAGACTTAATCATTTAGTACCTGTTCAGTTGTCCAAGGACACTCTGTGTGTGGTGGCTGACTGGGAACATACTTTGTGAACACATTTCGTATTTCCGAATAGATTCTGTTTCTGAAATAGCAAGGCTCTCTTCTTTAAGAGGGTTTTCTTTTAAAAGTTGGCCTAAAACAGATGAAAACCAAGGCAGTTAACGTACTAGCTGATTAGTACCAAGGTTCAGTGTTTAGATTGTTCAGGGAATTCTATATAAATACAGTTTTTGTTTCAAGCCAGACTCCTTGTCTGCGGAAAGTTAATTGGAACAGCAGGTTGCAGCGTATGGTATTGCCCTGCCACCTTCTGGCCAGGTTAACAGTTGCAGCCCCGGGAAGAGATGAGAGATTGGCGTTCTTAGGCCTGCATTTGTATTCAGACAGACAGAAACAGGAAGAATATCATTTTTGTTTGTTTGTTTTCCTTTGCAAAGCAGGAACTTTGAGTATGTTAGATACGACTGTAAAGAGCTCAGGATGGTCCTCTTGTTGGCAGATGAGCACTGTTGTGGTCTGAGGAGGATGATGTGTTCCAGAGCTAACTTGAGAAAAAATGTGAAATAAAAGCTCCAGTGATGGTCTACAGGAGTCCTGTTCATGGCCACATGTTTTACGGACCACACAAAGAGGGCAGGGCTCTATAGAAGTGCTCTCTTGCTAGAAACATTTTTATTTGTGTGTATGGTCCTAAGAATTCTAAGTAATTAATTGGCCAATTCAGATGTTTAAAGACATTGACAAATCCAGCTTGTTTCTGTGGTTGCAAATACTGAAGACTGAAGTCCTGTGCCCTGCCGCTGGCCTGGGACAGGAGGGCCCGTGAGACATTTATGTGGTGTGTGCGCCCCCTCCTGGGGAGATGTCAAAACTGCAAGTAATGGGTTGTGGAAATAACCACAAAGAATTAAATAACCAGGGGAATGGTGTGTACATAATGGTCCCAACAAAACAGAAAGCTGCGTGAGGCCTTACCACTGCTTCTGGGAAGGAGTGTGTGTGAGAGTGTGTGTGTGAGTGTGTGTGCGTGTGTGTGTGTGTGTGATGGGGGGTGCATACCACTCCTGGAACCAGCCAAGCCTCCACGCACATTTTAGTCACCACCATGTTCGGGTAAACATGCTACCCCGTCGCTCAGGCTTATGGTTCCTTATCTGCAAAATGGGGTTGCCACAGTAATCCTAGCGTCAGGCTGAGGGATTCATGCGGTGATACATGTGAAGCACCTAGCAGTACTGGCACTCAGCACATAGTTCGTGTAATTATGAGTACTCTGTGACAGTGATGGTGATAAGTAATACCAGCTGGCTACATACAGCTCTTACCATGAACCGTGGAAAGCTATGAGAAGAAAGAGTAGAAAATGGAATGTTCTGTGTGCCAGCATTCCTTCCTGTGCTTTGAACTTAACATTTCTTGACCTTTCAAGCTGTTATGCTCTTTCTGTATTTGGAGTGGTATCTAGTGACCACTTCTAATGTTCGGTCAATTTGGAGAGGCAGTAAGTGAGGCTGGATGAGTGAAGCAGGGAGAGGGATCAGAGAAAAAATGGCCTAGGGTCTGTCACCCACCCAGTAATCCTGAGGCCTGAGAGTCCTGTCCTGCAAGTATCTCTGGCTGGCCCACGCCTTGCTCCTGACAATTGGGTCTTGCTGTGTCTGAAAAGTTTGTGGCTGGAGACAGGTATCTGTGAAGCTTTTGTGAGACCACTTTTAACTTTTTTAAATGCATGTATTAGAAAACTGCTGTTAAAATGTTACCGTAAGAGAAAATATATCCAGGAGCTTTGATTGCAGATAATATTCAGTAGCATGTCTGAAAACAACTGAAAGCATTTATTTAACCACAAAGACTAATTCTCAAAAGTTAGCTGGGCATGGTGGTGCACACTTGTGGTCCCAGGAGGCTGAGGCCGGAGGATGTCAAGGCTGCAGTGAGCTGAGATTGCACCACTGCACTCCAGCCTAGGCGACAGGAGTGAGACCCCGTCTCAAAAAAAAGAAAGATGAATGCTCTTCAGGTCACCAACACTTTTTTTCAGGGGACATCTGCCCTTCATGTAGGGGCGGGTAGCTCCCTATCAGGAACGTTTGTCGTCTTCCTCAGTGCTCTAGAGGCTTAGGCAGGTAAAGTCAAGTCCCTTTTATGTAAACTGCTCTCCGGTGCCAGTCCCTGCTGGATGACAGCAACCCCGTTGGAATAACTACGAAGGCCTTCCACATTCAGTCTCTGTCATTGTCAAAGTCAATTTCAGGCTGCTGTGGTTATTCCTGGGGGTTAATCAATAAATCATGTCATCACCTTCACCCCTCACAAAGGGTGGTGGGCGAAGAGAAGGCACTTCATCATCAAGGAAAAAGCATTCCCACTGCCAGAAATAAAAGGGAAAATGCAGCAATCAATCCTGTAATCTGAAGCCTTAAAACTTAAACATCTTAACAAGATGTAAAGTCACGACTCAGAAGGGGGCCGAAATGCATACCAATACAGATCCCTGCGCTCACTCTCACTCACTGGAGGATGAAAGAGCACCACAGGCTTGCAGCTCATTATGGTACAGAGCACAGCCTTAAATGAATGCTCCTTGCTCACTGCAGGATGCTGGTGTATGAATATGAGTTAGAGATAAAAGTTAAGTGGTCATTGGTGCTAAAGATTCAGCAGCACAAGAAGTTTTTTAATGGTATTAGCTGGTGCGGAGTTCCTGTAAGTCAGACATTTTTCTTAATTTCTGTTAGAATAGTGGCGCAGGAGATACAGAATGTGGCATGTGGCGAGAAGGGGAGAGCAAAAGAGGTGGGAACTTGCCCACTGAGTAGCTAGAAGCTCTCTGTGATAGAAATGTCACTTGAGGGAGGTAGATCATTTCCTATTCCTGAATAAATGAAAACTACATTGAATGCCTGAAAGGAAGAGACTAAGGACCAATGAGAATGTGTCTAATTCATCCCTCCCCTTAAAGCATTTCAGGGCAAAGAAAAACCATATTCTCTTCCAAATAATGACTGAAATAACTGGTGTCCAAAGAAGCTTAAAAGTCGTAGTGCCTTGAAATTGTTTACACCTGTTGATTTGAATATTAACATCCTCGACTCCCAGAAGGAAATCTTATTTTGGATCGCTCATGACCAAACTGTGTGTGTATTTAATACTTAACTTTTCTGAATAAGATGTTCTGATGAGTGCTCTCCCCTTCATAGATGTGGAAAAACCATTACCAAAAAGAAGAGTGATCCATCTGCTTGGGGAGAAAACCACTTGTGTGTCGGCCGCTGTATCTGATGAGTCTGTGGCTGGAGACAGTGGGGTCTATGAAGCTTTCATGAAACAGTAAGGATTCAGCAGGGGTGCTTATTAGCTACAGCCATCTCCTTAGCCATGGATGTGGGTTACATGCTGTAAATGCCCTGCTACCATTAGTCCACTCTTTGGCATAGTAAGGACTTTAGCCATTAAAGAAGTAGTGTGCCTGAAAATTTCAGTATGTCAAAAATGACTTATCAGCCATGGGAATGATAAACAGATTGATGTACCCAGAGGTAACTGACCCTCTTTAAAATACAAAAACCTTTGTTTTAGTGGAAATATTGGAAAAATTCACCAGACCCTGTTTGGCACATGAAGCTTCTCATGTGTATTTCTGAAAGCCTGGAATGTCTCTATGGTGTGGTATATTTCTAGTAATAAGGAAAGCAATCATCAGAAAGGCTTTGCCTGAAAGCCCAGAGGCAGACTCTTCTTGAAAAGAGAAAGCCTCTAAAACAGTTAGCTTTCACTGGCATCAGTTCCACTGGGTGGGCCTAAGAGTGATATTAATTTGGGTTTTCATTCAGAATCACTAAGTGACAAACTGTAACCATAACAATCGATAACCCCATTAATTAACTGTTCATCTACTCCCTGTCCACATAGACCTAGTGAAATTGAAGATGTCATATACAGTGAAGAGGACGTTGCCATTGTAGAAACTGCCCAGGTTCAGATAGGACTCAGGTAAGGAACATGCATGGGAAAGGAGCAGTTCTGACGTTTGTGCAGGGCGAGTGGCCTGTGGTGATTTCTGACTTCATTTATCCTCTCTTTTGACAGATATAATGCAAAAAGTTCAAGTTTCATGGTGATTATAGCACAACTCCGAAACCTTCATGCCTTCTTGATACCTCATACTTCGAAAGTGTAAGTAAAATCAGTGAAGATCAAATTGAGGAACTTAAAAATTTCCATGTAAGAGAATTTTACACTGTAATCATATAGTTCATCAAAGTGAGGATGTGAAAAAGACATAGCAGGGCTGAGCACGTCTAATAAATGATAGATACAAATGAAAAGGAAAATGTGAGGAAGGCATACTGGGTTTTAATTCTGACTCAGCTGATTCTTTTTAAGGATAGAAGCCAAGAATTTTAATCTCTTTTTTGTAACCAGAAATACTGTATTATGCTGTGTTGGAATTTGATTGAAATATGAGTAAAATTTTTGTTATTGTGTAATTCTTACTACTGTTGTTTAAGGAATTTTCTGATCTTTTATGTTAAAATATAGTGATTAAATTTTATTTATCAGTACAACATTGCCAATCAAATATTTTATCATGCTACATGTAAGAGCATGTTTTTATCATCAAGCATTTACTTCCCTGTGACCAGTGAGCTCTTAAAGTTATTTTACTTTATCACACCAAGAATACCAACAAAGTGATGACATAATGCCACACAGTCCATTGCTTAGAAACTGTTAATTTCCTGACAGATACGCCTAAAGATCTTATGACAAATAAGTCTAGGAGTCTTAGACACCACCAATCACATTTTCTGACATCAGAGTTTCAGTGACTCTGAAGGGCTTATGGCTAGAAAGTACCGAGAAGAATCCAGATTTACACTTAGCACCTCTGACATAGAATCCAGAATATACATGTCTACTCTGCATTGAAACTTCTGTAAGAGGTGGATCTTAATAATATTTTGAATATGCAGCATAAAGGTTTGGAAATTTAAAAAGAGCTGTTGAGGGGTGATCCCCAAGACTCCATACCCAGCCAGGTGAATGGTTTTTTTTTTTTTTTAATGATAGAGTATATTCCTTAGTGATAGGACTTATAATAGAATAAATTTGAGAGTTCTGGATGTTTTTCCGACAGACTTGTAAGTTCACACCCTAACATTCCAATAATTGTCAGAAGAAACTGGATCTAAGAGAAAAAGAACTAGATAGAGATTGTGTAATTGACAGTAGAGATAATGGATTTCTTTTTTTTTTTTTTTTTTAAAGATGGGGTCTCACCATGTTGCCCAGGCTGGTCTTGAACTCCCTGGGCTCTCCCACCTCAGCCTCCCAAATTGCTGGGATTACAGGCATGAGCCACCAAGCCCAGTCGAGATAGTAGATTTTAATGTGTTGAGAAGCATCAAAGCTGGAGGTAGAATAGGATTCCAGGAGGAAGGTGAGCTTAGAGAACTTCCTGAATCAAGGCATGGGCTGTCCACATCATTAGTGAGACCAGTGAGGAGAGCAGGCGTAACGTGGAAGTGCCTAAATCAACACAGAGAGCCTGCTTCCCAGGCCTGAGATGAAAACCACAGCCAGTGGTGTCCAGGAAGACTGGCTTGATATAATCTGTGACTTCTCCCCACTGATAAATAAGCTGTGATGTTGGAGCATGCCATTGGTGGCCTTTTAGTAAAGCAGATCACGGAGAAGACAAATCTACCAGAGACTGAAACAATGAACAGTGAGAACTAATGCACAACTTCAGGAGAAAACTACAGAACACCCTAAGAACACATACTTTCTTTAAACTCACTGTAAGGGTACACCTATAATATGCTCTACTTCAACTAAACCAGTCATGGCCATTCTCACTTACCTCTTAGGATGCCACAAAGTCCCTTCTGGAGGCATGGTGATACCAGCGTGGTGTAGGACCAATGAAATACTCAGCCCAACCAATAAGTAGACATTGCTCTTCTGCTCCCCAACTGGTGTGCAGGTGCCTGTTGAGTTGGTGTGAACCTTCCTGACATATATAGCAATCTTTCCTTAAACCCATATAGAAAAGCCTTGGCCTAATAATGACACTGCTAAATATGACAGTTAGTATGAAATATTCTTAAAATTGCTTTTTTCCCAAATTCAAAAGTTATTTTTTGATTATTAATTGTGACAAGCAGAGTTTATGCTTCGTCTGGTTAACAACAGCCACGGTATTTTTGTGAGTGGCTCATGGCTTGCTGGACTCCAGTTTGAAGAGGTGTACCCCACATACACAACCACCCCTACAACAGAATGAAAGGGAACTGCCTTCTTTGCCTTATGTACTTGGCTTTTAACTGTGTAAAATATGAAGACTTGAAACACAGAAGATCCCTGCCCTCTATGGCCACCCTAATATACTTCTCCTTTACTACTTTTCCATGAAAGTGGAGAAAAGATTTTCTTCTGTTGAATCTTTGGCCTCCCAGGGACAGTGAGCTGTGTCTTAGTAAGGCTCTTAAATCAACAGCAGTGGCCTGAGGCCCACTAGATTTTCAGTGCTGAATCTCCATAATTAATATTGATATGAAATACAAAATAATAGGACATTTGTCAGTTCTGCATGTGAATTAGAGTTTTTCTAACTGGAGAAAGGCATGTTTTAGAATACAGATTAGATAAACGTGGAAATGAGAGTGGAAGGGGATAGAGTTAGCATATTCTCCTTCTGGGATTACCTTGTGCTGTTTCTAAGAATTGTGGGTCCTCATATAATGTGTGCTCAGAAAAGTCACTTTAAAGTAGTATTAGAAGTTATTGTTTTTCTATAACTCTCTGAATGTTACAAAGCACAAGACTCTTTTAAGACAGTTTGTCATATCTCAGACTTTGGAGATGCTAGACAGTGATATTTTTGAACTGTTACTTCATCTGTTTTAAATTTTCTTAACAATATGCTACTTAGCCTTTCTTTTTCTCTAGTAGGATAATGTATTCCATTCCTGGGAAGTGATCATCAGCATCTCTTGTTTAATACTCAGGATGAGGATTGTTTGGGATAAAGTCACCAGTATCTGCTTAGTGTGTTCCTACCTTCCCAGGCTCAGAAATAACTTGTTTTGGAATTGGCTGTACATGGGGCAGGTGGGACGTTAAATTCGTCTGCCCCACGGACTTTCTTCCTCTTCACTTTCCTATCATGTGCCTTTGCTGCAGTCTCGTGGTGAGTGGAGGCTGGGCCGTTGCATGCTCAGGGGCGTAGTCAGCTTGGGTGGGTTAAGAACAGAGCATCTATGCAGCTGAGCACGGACCCATGATGGCAGCAACACTGTAGATTGATAATGAACTCCATGATCTCTCATTTTCTCTTTGCAGATAATTTCAAATGATAGCTGTGAATCTGATAAAGTACCTATGAAATCCATTTTATTTTTCTTCTTTGCAGATATTTTCGGGTTGCCGTTCTTCCCTCCTCAACTGATGTCAGCAGTCTGTTTCGCACAAAAGTTCATCCGCCCACAGAATCCATTTTGTTCAATGATGTGTTCAGAGTCGCCATTTCCCAAACAGCCTTACAACAGAAGACACTGAGAGTAGACCTTTGCTCCGTCAGTAAACACCGAAGGGAAGAATGCCTGGTAAGATTCTTCATAATTCCCACTATCAGATAACACTTATGGTCTGAGAAGATATTTTGTAGTTGCTATTTTGCCAGCCCTAGAAACCCCTACAGACCTGCCCAGCATCTTGGGACACATTGAATGTTTGTTCATTTTTTTCTGTAGTGGTTTCTGTTCATTCTCTTAATCCAGACCTTTAAAACCTGCTTATAGATTGTGATTTTCTGTAAAAGCTGCTTTCTATTTCTGCCTTTTAATCTCAGGAGAACTTTACCTCTGTGATAACTATCACTCATGGAGTGTGCTTATCATTGTGCCAATGACAAGCCTTGTGTGAGTGCTGTGTGTGTATTATCTCATTTAATCCTCATGACAACCTGATGAAAGGTTGGTTATGAAACGGATGATTATCCGCTATTTTCAGATAAGGAGCTGCTTAGAGAGGTCATTTATACTACAGTCAGACAACTAGTAAATGATGAAGCCAGATATCAAAAAGACATCCCCACATAATTCACTGTTACAAAGTAAAATTAAGCAAGACCACTGAGTACTGCATAGTACCCTTATTCAGCACATTCTCTCCCACCACAGTATTGGAGTTTTGGGAAGACATAGTGTTACTGTTTAGAGCAATATGAAATTTAAATGCTACAGCAGAAGAATTCCCACTAATTGTGAGTTTTAAACACTGTTATGCATAATAACCAGAAAACCACCAGGTCCCAGTAAAGTTACGTAGGTATTCAGATACAGACATCTAGAGATGTGCCCATGTGTTCAAAATACAATGTGAGTCTCCAATTGAGCTTTTCTCTGCAGTCCAGTGGGAAGCACAGAAACACACGTTTCATGAACAAAGTTTAAGAGTGGTAGGTTTCTTCTTAATTTTATTTCTTGTTTTCTTTACTTGAAAAAAATGTCTGATGATATTGTCTGACAATAAAGTTAGAAAGAAGCAAAGATCACAGACTTGTTAGGCTATCAGAAAGGCTTTACTATAATAGATGTCGTATTTAGTATAATAGACGTCAGAGGCTCCAATAAAGTTCATAATCGATAGCCTTAAAGAAGAGTATAACTTAATTTAGATTTTTGCTATGTGTGATTTGGTAGAATATGAAAGCCTTTATCCTTTACTTTTATTGCCATTTTACTAACTTATGAATCCAAAGAAAACTATTGCTATCTGATGTCTTATTCAAGAACCAAAGTGGAGTTTTTATTTGTTTTTCAGTGGATAATGGGTTGTTTGTGAGTAATAATCGAGTCATCTTTACAGCATATTATAAGAAGTACTAGGAGGCCAGGCGTGGTGGCTCATGCCTGTAATCCCAGCACTTTGGGAGGCCAAGGCAGGCGGATCACCTGAGGTCAGGAGTTTGAGACCAGCCTGGCCAACATGGTGAAAACCCGTCTCTACTAAAAATACAAAAATTAGCTGAGTGTTGTCACGTGTGGCTGTAATCCCAGCTACTCAGGAGGCTGAGGTAGGAGAATCACTTGAACCCAGGAGGTGGAAGTTGCAGTGAGCTGAGATTGTGCCACTGCACTCCAGTCTGGGAGACAGAGCAAGACTCCATCTCAATAATAACAATAATAATAATAATAATTTTACGTTTACAGAAAAGGCATGCTAATCCCAGGATTAGCTTTTAGATTGGGGGTTATTTCTTATTTAGTCACAGCTGAAAATGTAACATATCTCCATGTTTTAAAAAATCCAGCAATGCTTTATGTCATGAGAATTGCATTTTTTTTTACCCTAAAACAAGCTCATTCAATAATCTTCTTTATATCAGAGCAAATACTAATTTAAACGTTTTATTTTCTCTCTTCTTTTCTTGTTTTCTTTCACTTACATAGGCTGGAACTCATATCAGCCTGGCAGATTTACCATTTTCCAATGAGGTTTTCACTCTATGGTATAACTTGCTTCCTTCCAAGCAAATGCCTTGCAAAGAGAATGAAGAAAATGAGGACTCTGTATTTCAACCAAACCAGCCATTAGTAGATTCCATAGACTTGGTGAGTCAAAATTAAAGAATAATATGAAAGTAATATGAAATGTGGAATGCTACAAGACCAATGTGTTTTTATCACTTTTACTATCCTTCCTTTTCTCGTTCACAACTTTGTTTCTCCCAGTTTGCCAAGAAAAAAGAAAGTTAATTTCCAGCTTTGTTTCAAATATGGTTTATAAAAGGACCATCATTTTCTGCTCACACCTCCTTATTAAAATAAACTGGCATAAAGGCTTCATTGTTTTTAAGTGATCATGGAAAAAAAACCTTTTTAAATATATACTTTTTATGCATTGTGTTTATATTGTTTGATTCCACTGGCAGGTTATACATTTGGCACTTTTATATTTTGCAAATTTGAAATTATTAAGTCTAAACAGTGTATTAGCTTTTCATTTGTAACATCAATAGCCATAAACGTTTTCTATTAAATAGTTTTTTGGGGACTGGGCGAGGTGGCTCAGGCTCGTAATTCCTTGCTTTTGCTTAGGAGTTCGAGACCAGCCTGGGCAACGTGGCAAGACCCCATCTCTGCAAAAAAACAAAAAAGTTAGCTGAGTGCAGTGATGCACACCGGCAGTCCTAGCTCCTGGGGAGGCTGAAGTGGGTGGATTGATTGAGTCCAGGAAGTCGAAGCTGTAGTGAGCCATGATCATGTCACTGCACTCTAGCAGTGGGGGTGGATTGTAGCCAGCAGTCAAACTTCAATACAGTACTTCAAAAAATTTGCAAAGGGGCATTTTGTGAGGGCATTCATCACGGATTTGGCATTTGTGGATATTGTTACTGAGTTCAAGTTTATTTTAGATTATGAGGAAAGCATTTCCTAAGCAAAGGTCAGATAATTAAACAACAGTGTTTTATTGGTCGTCTGCTGTGTGTGAGAAACTGTTGTAGACGCTGTGTAGTGGGTGGTGAAAGGGAAACAGACATGATGCTACAGTTTAGATTACATGCCCAGCCTTGTGGAAGACACTAAACAATGCATACAAGATGGCAAAATATGATTTTTCAGTCCTTAAGAATGCTTTTATAATGGTCACACTTTATGTAAGTTCTTAAAAATAGCTTTATTACAATATAATTCATACGTCATACATTTCACCCATTTAAAGTGTGACAGTTTATCCATTTGAAGCACCCAACTCAATGGTTTTTTGGATATTCACAGAGTTGTGTGTGCAACCAGCATTACAGTCTAATATTAGAATATTGTCATCATCCCCAAAGAAGCCCCGTACATGAGCCGAGACTCCCAGTTCTCCCTTACCTCTTTCCCCCAAGGCAACCGCTAATCTCTGCTACAAGGCAAACACTAATCTCAGTCTCTCTAAATTTGCTTCTTCTGGATGTTTCATGTAAGTGGAATAATATTTGTTCTTTTGTGGCATCTTTTTCACTCAGCATGATATTTTCAAGGTACCGCCATGGTATTGCAGTATTAGTATTTTATTCCTTTTTATTCACACATGATATTCTGTTGTGGATGTACCACATTTTATCTGTTCATCAGCTGATGGGCATTTGGGTTATTTCTGCTTTTGGGCTATTATGAAAAATTCAGCTATGAACATTTGTATATAAGTGTTTTTGTGTACATATGTTTTTATTTCTCCGGAGTATATACCTATGAGTACAATTGTTGGATTGTATAATAACTCTGTATTTAATATTTTGAGAAACAGCTAAACTGCTTGCCTAGGTGTTTGCACCATTTTGCATTCCTATCAGCGTGTATGAGGGTTCCATTTTCTCCCTTGCCATGTGTTATCTGTCTTTCTGATTCTTGCCATTCTGGTGAGTGTGAAGTGGTATTTCACTGTGGCTTTGATTGACATTTCCCTAATGACTATGATGGTGAGCATCGTAGGTTTATTGGCCATTAGTATGTCTTTTTTTTTTTTTTTTTAGAAATGTCTTTACAGATTCTTTGTCTATTTTTAAAAGATGTTTCTTTTTATTGTTGAGTTATAAGAGTTCCTTACCTATTCTTGATATAAACCCTTTATCAGATAAATGATCCATAGATATTTTCTCTGATTCTGTGGGTTGACTTCTCACTTTCTTGATGGTTTTATTTACAGCACAAAAGTTTTTAATTTTCGTAAGTCCAATTTATCCATTTTTTTTTAATCCTGTGCTGTTGGTATCATAGTTAAGACTTCTTTGCCTAAATTAACATCACAAACTTTTACTCCTGTGTCTTTTTCTAACAGTTTTAAAGTCTTATATTTAGGTCTCTGATTCATTTATTAGTGAAACTCTGTTCATTTGAGTTTTGTTTTTTCGTATGTGGATATGCAATTGTCCCAGCACCATTTATTGCAAAAATGATTCTTTCCTCTTGAATTATCTTGGCACCCTTCTTGAAAATCAAGTGTGAGAGTTTACATTTCTGGACTCTCAATCTTGTTCAGTAATCCATATGTCTGTACTTAAGCCAGTACTACATTGCCTTGATTACTATTGCTTTGTAGTCAAATTTGAGATCAGGAAGTGTGGGTTTTCTAACTTTCATTTTCTTTTTAAAGATTGTTTTGGCTTTTCAGAGTCCCTTGTATTTCTATAAGAGTTTTAGTATCAGTTTACTAATTTCTGCAAAAAGAAAAAAGACAGCTAGGAGTTTCCTAGGGGTAGCATTGGACCTGTGGGTCAGTTCGGAAGATACTGTCATCATAACAGTTCTAAGTCTTCTGATCTGTGAACATAGGACATATTTCCATTTGTTTATATCTTTAATTTCTTTCAATAATTTTTTATAATTTTCAGAGTCAAAGTTTGCTTTTCTTTCTTTTATCTTTTTTTCCTTTTTTCTTTTTTATTTTTATGTCAGATGGGTAATGTGCTGATGTTCTAATGAGGTTTCAGGGAGGTATATCTCACACATAAGTGTGAAAACCTAACCATCATACTTAGGAACTGCAAAAGAATCAGTATGCCCTTCTTTTGTTAAATGTGTTTCTAAATGTTCTATTCTTTCTGATGCTATTGTGAATGGAACTGGGCTTTTAAAAGTTTTGTTCATCATGACCCCCATACAGCAACATAAAAAAGATATACACTATGACCAAGTGAATGCAAGGTTGGTTTAACACTTGAAAATAAATTAGTAAATTATATCAGATATTTAATCATTTAAATGTTTTAGTCATTTAAAATAAAGTTTGAGGACCCACTGAAACAGTGTGATGTTTCAGTACATGTATTCATTATATAATGATCAAATCAGGGTAAATTAACAAAACCATCACCTGAAACATTTATTTCTTTGTGATGAGACCATTCAAAATCCTTTCTTATAGCTATTATGAAGTATATAATATAATGTTGTTAATTATGATCACCCTATTGTACATTAAAACAGCAGAACTTATTCTGCCTATCTGGCTGTAACTTGATATTCCTGTTGACTAACCTTTCCCTTTTTTCCCCACCTTCCCTACTCTCCCCAGCCACCGTGGAACTGTTTTCTCAGTTGTATGTTTGTTTGTTGCACAATTGATTTTGTTTATCTTGTATCCGGCAACCTTACTGAACTCATTTATTAATAGTTTTTTAGTGGATTCCGTAAGATTTTCTATAAGATTGTATTGTTTGCAAAGAGAGATTATTTTACTTCTTCCTTTCCAGTCATATGCCTTTTATTCCTTTTTTTTGCCTATTTGCCCTGGCTGGAACTTCCCAAACAATATTGAAAGAAGTGGTAAAAGCAGACATCCTTGTCTTGGTCCCGATCTTACTGGAGAAGCTTTCAGTCTTTCATCATTAAGTATGACTTTGGCTGTGCCTTTTTCATAGATGCCCTTTATCAGAATGAGGAAAAGCTCTTCTTTTCCTACTTTGTTGACTACTTCTAATTATTAAAGGCTGTTGGGCCGGGCGCGGTGGCTCACGCCTGTAATCCCAGCACTTTGAGAGGCCGAGGCGGGTGGATCACGAGGTCAAGAGATCGAGACCATCCTGGTCAACACGGTGAAACCCCGTCTCTACTAAAAATACAAAACATTAGCTGGGCATGGTGGCACGTGCCTGTAGTCCCGGCTACTCGGGAGGCTGAGGCAGGAGAATTGCCTGAACCCAGGAGGAGGAGGTTGCGGTGAGCCGAGGTCGCGCCATTGCACTCCAGCCTGGGTAACAAGAGTGAAGCTCCGTCTCAAAAAAAAAAAAAAAAAGGCTGTTGAATTTGTAAAATGCACTTTCTGCATCTGTTGAGATGGTCATGTGGTTTTTGTTCTTTATTCAATTGATATAATTTATTAATTGATTTTCACGTGTTCAACCAATTCTGCATTCCTTGGATAAATCTCACTTGGTCATAGCATAGATCCTTTTTATGTTGTTGGACTCAGATTGCTAATATTTCATTGAGGATTTTTGTGTCCGTATTCATAGCTTTGTCATGATAGCTTTGGTTTTCATCAGGCTAATTCTGGCCTCATAGTATGAGTTAGAAAGCATTCTACCTTTTGGAAAAGTTTGAGAAGAAGTTGTATTAATTCTGTAAATATCTGGTAGAATTCACAGGTGAAGCCATTCAGTCCTGGACTTTTCTTTGTGGGGAGTTTTTAGTTTAGAGATTCTATCTCTGTACTTCAGTCTACTTAGACTTACAAGTATTGCTTTTTGAGTCTGTTATTAGGTAAATGTAAATTTAGCATTTACCTTTAGCATTGTATTGCATCTTTCTGTTCAACTGAACCTTTTATCATTAAGAAGTGTTCTTTTTTATCTCTAGCAATACCTCTTGTTTTAAACTCTAGTTTGTCTAGTGTTAGTAAAGCTACATATTGACCATTTTGGGTTAGTGTTTGCATGGTTTATCTTTTTTCATCCTTTTACTTTCAGCCTTTCTAGGTTATTATATTTAAATTATACTACTTATAAGCAGTATATAGTTAGTTTTGATTTATTATCCAGTCTTAAAATCTTCATCTTTTAATTGAAATATTTAGTTTATTTACTTTTAATGCTATTATTGATATATTTGTGGTTTTATTGATATATTTGTGGTTGACTCTATTATCTTCCTATTTGTTTTCTTTTAATTCCATGTTTATTCTTTTTCTTTTCTTGTTTTGAATCATTTTTAAATTTTCATTTCCCCCCTGCTAGATCTGCAGTCTTTTATTTTTTGTACTTTCCCTGGAGATTATAGCATGAGTTCTTATTAAAAACCAACTTAAATTAATTTCTTTACTTTTCTCAGACAATGCAAAGATTTTAAAAGACTTTAGCTTCTTTTTATTCTCTTTCTGCCTTCTGTGCTGTGTCATATATTTTAAATCTGTAAGATATTCGTATTGTTTTCATTGACAGTATTTATTTAGATTTCCTCACATTTTTACCTTTTTGTTATATTTCATTTCTTTCTGCTTCATTGTGCTTCTATTTGAGACATTTTGCTTCTGCTCAAAGAATTCCCTTTAGTATTTCTTTTAGCATAGATCTGTTAGTATCTATTTCAACTTCATTTGCGAAAGACAGTTTTTTTGCTGCATATTCAAAATTCTAGATTGACAGTTATTTCTTTGAACATGTTAAAAATATCATTTTATTGTCATCCAGTTTCTATTTATTCTGTTGAGCTTTTGAAGGACAACTTAATTGTTGATTCATATACATTATTTATTTTACTGCTTGTAAGATTCCTCTTTTTCTTTGATTTTCAGCAGTTTCAGTCTGATATGCTAATGTTATTTTCTTTGTGTTTATACCAGTGAAATTCTTTATCATTTCATTCAGTTTTTTATGCATATTATTCATAAAAATTTAAAATTTTCTCTCAGTGCCCATAGTGTGTGAATCATCTGCAGGTCTGCTTTGTTTGGCTGTTGTTTCTCTTGACTTTCACTCTTTAGGTCATAATGAAATGTTGGATATTATGTATGAGGGTGTCTGACTGATACTTTCCCCCAGAGAGGATTTGCCTTCTGAAAGGCAAATGACAATGTGGGTAGCTTACCTGAATCATGTGGGGACCTGAATTACAGTTTTTCTCTCCATGAGACCATATGAGACAATGGAAGTATCTGCTTACTGTTTTAGCCTGATAGCCGCTGGTTTTTTGCTTTCCCAGCTTCTTGCTCTGCATATAGGCAGCTTAGGAATGGCAAATGCCATGATAGGAATATCATGAAGAAAATTAAGCTCCCTTTACAGTTCATTTCTTCTAATCCCTTGTGGGTTGACTGTTTTAGTCTTCCCTTCCTGCTGACATTGCCACCATTCTAGGCAGCCGCAGTGTGTTTTCCCCACTTATCTCACCACTAGAATTGACAAACAACCCTAAGGGAAAAGAGTGGCAATGGCTCACCTTATTATATTTCTGTTCTGCCTGGGATCTTGGTACTCTAGTCCTGATTGCCTTTGTTGCTCTTCATTGCTTTAAAACATCTGGAAGGTTTTGCTTGTTTTGGCTTATATTTTATTCAGCTTTCATATTTGTTTTCAGCAGGAGAGTTGGGTCTTCTTTACAGATAGAAGTGTAAATTCCCATCTGTTGAGTTTTTAAATCATTTCTTCAAGTATATGTTGTGAATTGCCATATGCTTTACTTTCTCCAGGATGCAGTGTCAGCCTTACTTGCAAGAACATCAGCTGAGTTGTTAGCTGTGGAACAAGAATTAGCACAAGAAGCAGAAGCAGAAGCAGAAGAAGAAGAAGAAGAAGAGCCAAGACAAGAAGAGCAAAGGGGTCCAGAAGGAGACTGGTTAAACAGTTATTTCCTTTTGCTATTGGGAACTCAAAGAGGATGTGTTTACATGTCTTAGAATGAAACCTTTGTAGGCTCATGTTTTATTCCAGAATTATGAAATGCACTGCAGCTTTAGGAAGTAATGCTAGAAAAAGTCTTTCCTTGGTCATTAGAGTTAAGAAAGTAAAGGCAGTTTGTGGGCAAAGTTAAGACATTAGCCAGATTCTTTGTTCTTGTTTCAAGTAATTTAAAAACACTATTTTCTGAGCTTTTTTTTTTATTTTTTATTTTTTATTTATTTTTTTTTTTGAAATAGAGTCTCACTCTGTCCCCCAGGCTGGAGTGCAGTGGCTCAATCTTGCTCACTGTAACCTCCGCCTCCTGGGTTCAAGCGATTCTCCTGCCTCAGCCCCCCAAGTAGCTGGGATTACAGGCACGTGGCACCATGCCCAGCTGAGTGTTTGTATTTTTTAGTAGAGACAGGGTTTTACCTTGTTAGCTAGGATGGTCTCGATCTCCTGACTTCATGATCTGCCTGCCTTGGCTTCCCAAAGTGCTGGGATTACAGGCATGAGCCACCATGCCTGGCCAAGCTTTTTTTCTTTTTTAAAGTCTAAACTTGATTTTGAAAGATATGGTAGCTTATTGTAGAGTTGTAGATAAATTTAAAAGTGACTCTCTTTTGCTTTTAATTACCTGGAAGTACAATTTAGGCTCTAGTAAGACAAAGCAAATGTTTAAAAAATAACTTCTGATTAATCATTTTTTGGTTTGTTACCACTCTTACCTTCTTTTTCTGTGTCCTTCTCTGTATCCATACCCAATCCTTTAAAAAGGGGGGATGGAGGGGAAGTTATTACAGTTTTTGTCCAGGTTCATGTATATATAAAGAGCTGTCCTTCTTGGATTGCACTTTTTTTCTCTTAAAACAAATTTTAGTGAATATTTTACTTTTTAAGTATATATATATATATATATATATGTGTGTGTATATATATATATGTGTGTGTATATATATATATATAAAATCATTTGAGTTAGTTTTAAATATATGAACATTTAGAAGGAAGAACTTCTATTGTGATTTTTAAGAATGTAGATATACTTTGTCCTTATCAAAAGTTCTTTATAGTGAATAAAATTCACAGTACTGCAAAACGAATAAATATGAGAGTGATTATAGGGTTCATTATAGTGTCTTTAAATACTAAGCCTTTCTCATGTATGTAAAATACACTTTGTTTTACACATAGTTTCAAACAGTACACTTAAAATGTAAACAAATGAATTTATTGTTTTGTTTGATGGTTCCCCTTGTGCTAATTTTCATGGCTAGACATTTATTACCTGGTCTGTGCCAGTTTGCATTATGTCACCAACCAAATTAAAGCTGAACATTTAGTTATCAATGGAAAAAATGTTTGCGTTAGGAGAACATGAAACTCAACAAAGTATGAGATGTTCTAAACCATCCTAGTAGTTCTGCTTTATATAGTCTGTTTAAGCCGTATTTATATTCTGGAGCACTACTTATAATGCTGCTTCAGCCCATGCCAGGGCTTTTGTTAAAGAAGAGTCTTCTACTAGTTTAGAAGAAAAACTCCCTTAACATAGGATTCTCCCTGCTAGTCTGTGAGCACACTCAATAAAATGGGTATTTAAAATCCTTATTCTTTATTCAGTCTTAGCTGAGAATAACTCCATTCTGTTACATAATTATTTTACAATAAATGAACAGTGAATACCAAGTTATTTTATAGTGAGTGTCAATATTTTTAAATGCTAACATTAAACTCTGTGATTTTCAGAATACGTCTATTTTAATATATAGAAATTATGTTAAATTTCATGCGCTTTTTAGTACCACGTTGAGGTTATTTTGCTGCAGTTTACCAGAGGGTGAAGTGAGGATTTTATTTTTTATGAAACATTTAGTTAAAAACCCCAGCCAAAGAAATGGCTTGTCTCATTATGTGTGAGTCCCAGGTAACAACTTAGCATGCCCAGGTTGTGTGTTCATAGAGCATGCCTGCCTACCAAAAGTGTGTTTTGTTTTTGTTTTACCATAGGTTAACAATGCTAAGAGAGGCCTCTGATGAAATTGTGGCTGAAAAAGAGGCTGAAGTTAAATTGCCAGAGGACAGTAGCTGTACAGAAGATTTAAGTTCATGCACTAGTGTGCCTGAGGTGAACGAAGACAGGAACAGGAAAGAAAACAGCTGTGTCAAAGACCTCAAAAGTCAGCCACCTACTGGAATACCAACGCTGGTGACTATTCCACTGTGCTGTCTTAAAACTGATACTTTACAGGCACCATGTGGACTAGGGAGATGCTTGTTTGTCTCCTTAGGTGTAAATTCCATGTCCAGATTTTGTGCCAAAAGCTGATCATGAAAGGCATGTGTGGGAATAGGCTCTAAGAAGCATCGTAAATGCTTTAAAGTGGGCCCAAAATATTCTCCACTTGCATTTGGAGAACATATAAGAAGAGAAATAGTGCTGGCTACTTTAGAGCTCTATAAAGATTCTGTGAATATTAAAAAAATATTTTCTGAATTCCTTGGAAAACAGCAGGGTGTCTTTTATCAAATTCATATATGTAGTAAGTTTTATTTCCATTTCAAACATGAAGTAAACATTTAAAGTTCATTTGGTTAGGTGGTGCCTTGATTGGAAAGGTGACAGGTGACTTAATGTAGGCACAAGTGCCAAGTTATTAAACAGGTAACTTTGCTAGTTAAGTGAGAGATGTGTTGAGACTGTCAACCCCATATGGGGAAAAATATTTTCAAGCTTTGGGAATGTTCACACACTGGGGGATATTGGTAATAGAGTTTAGAAAATTCTAATTAATTAAATAATAAATAAAATTATTCCTGAAGAAATACTATTATGCCCTGACTGAGAACTTTCTTTTCACAAAGGAGCAAACTTTCATTAAGAGGCAGGTTTAAAATCAAGTTATACCTATAAGATAAAAAATAGACATCTGCCTTTGCCTACTGAGTTTGTATTTTGAGAAACTTCCATTTTTTACTTAAGTTTTGTTTTTGTTACATTTCTAAAGATCCAGTAAAATACAACTCAGCTTCACAACAGTTATGTTTATGCATGTATAATTACATATTCTATTTAAACCTACAAGTTTGTGGTATGTTTCATTTTTTTATATTTTATTTTATCATTTATTCTGAAAAAATCTAATCAGAAAGTTGAATAAAGTTTAATGATGATATATACTCAAATAGGATTCTTTTTAGAATCACTTTAAATCTAAATCTTTATTTTTACGTCTGGCCTTTTGGAGGCAGCACCTTTACTTAAGGGTAACCTTGTGGACAGATCATGCTGCCTATTATGCAGAACTTCCTAAGAACTCATTAGAAAACCATTCTTGGTAGAAAATTGAAGAGAAATTCTCCCCAGAAATTCTCCCCAGAATTTCTCCCCAGTACTTCAGAAGTGCTACAGTCTGTAATACAAAGCCTTTCTCTTAAGAAAGTGCTCCATGAGTCTCTGTTGTAACATTAGATATTTTTTCTTTCTTAGAAGAAAGGAGCATAATGTTTACAGATCTATCAGCTCCTGACAAATTGCTGACTTCTTTTACAGGTTGATAAAGAGACAAATACTGATGAAGCTGCTACTGACAATATGGCAGTTCGCCCCAAAGACCGCAGTAGCCTGAGCTCTAGACAGCGTCCCTATGTGAGGAGCAGTGTGATAGTGCGCTCACAAACCTTTTCTCCGGGAGAGCGGAATCAGTACATCTGCAGGGTAAGGTGGCAGTGCTGTGGCAAGGCGCTGGGACTGCAGCTTCTTCCCTGCTGCTAGGGAGTGGGCTGCAGAGGACAAGAGACGGTGCTCTGGGAGTCTTCACATTACAACTACAAATACTGGAAATGCAATAAAATAGATGTAGGATATCACACCCTTGTGATCCTTTTAAGTTTGTTTGCTTTTCCGTCAAATTTCATGTCTCCTTGGTTCCAATGTGATTTATTTGGCAAGTAAGTGAAGTTTAAGGATCTGAGTGCTAAGTATACGTATGTTATTTGGACTTCAGTCTGTATTTAGAAACATAAAGTGGGTTTTTGAGATATAGGTAGTCTGTATATTTCTATTCTATATCATATGTCCTTCAAACCATGTTAGTCTTGTTGAACTGAGAATTGTGAATTGCTTTTTAGAGCAGAAGTCCTCTTTTAATAATGCTTATAAACACTGAATCACATCCATAGTTCTGTGAAGAAAATTATGAGATTTGCATCAATTTACCAAATTCTACTTCTAGAAGTATTTCTAATTTATATAGTAAGATAGACATAGTATTATAAACTGGGGTAGAAATACCTTTTAAATTCTATATTTATTCATTCAGTTCAACACATTTTTATAAGCACCTGCTTGTAAGCACTTTCCTAGATACATGGGATTCATCTAGAAACAAGAGACCCAGAGGCCTGCCATTGCAGAGTTTATATTCCTGTGAATCGAGCCAGACCACAGCAGCAAATACGAGGAATAAGCTATGAAGTATCTTGGAAAGGGATCAGTGCTGTGGATAACAGTAGTGCAGGGGGGTTGGGGGTGATATGCAGGCTGCATTTCAGTGAAGATTTGAAGCAGGTGAGACAGTGAGTGTGGGCTACTTGGGCTAAGAGCATTCTAGATAGCACAGACTGTGTCTCAACTCTGACCTGGAGCTCTGTGCTTTATGGAGACCTTTTTATTTTTTGAGACAGAGTCTCATTCTGTTTCCCAGGCTGCAGTGCAGTGGCGCAATCTTGGCTCACCGCAACCTCTGCCTCCTGGATTCAAGCTATTCTCCTGCACCAGCTTCCCAAGTAGCTGGGACTACAGGCATGCGCCACCATACCTGACTAATTTTTGTATTTTTAGTAGAGATGGTTTCTCTATGTTAGCCAGGCTAGTCTTGAGCTCCTGACCTTGTGATCTGCCCGCCTTGGCCTCCCAAAGTGCTGGGATTACAGGTGTGAGCCACTGTGCCCAGTCTTATGCAGACCTCTCTTTAAAGAAACGAAAATGATCTATTAACTAAAAATACAAAGGATAATTTTATTTCAAGAAATATATAAGTACTTTAAACATAGGATTTTTGATAACTACTACCAAAAGGCAGCCATTTAAATTATTTAAGAGGCCAGGCGTGGTCACTCATACTTGTAATCCCAACACTTTGGGAGCCCGAGGAGAGCGGGTTGCCTAAGGTCAGAAGTTCAAGACCAGCCTGGCCAACATGGTGAAACCCCATCCCTACTAAAAATACAAAAATTAGCCAGGTGTGATGGCACACGCCAGTAATCCCAGCTACTAGGGAGGCTGAGGCAAGAGAATTATGTGAACTGGGGTGGTGGAGGTTGCAGTGATCCAAGATCACACCACTGCACTCTGGGTGGCAGAGTGAGACACCATCTAAAAAAAATATTAATTAATTAATTAAGAAAATGAAGTTATTTAACAAAACATAGAACAGGAAAAACCTTGTTTGAGGGGATTTTCTTAAAGAAATAAACTCTTAACTATCACTACCTGCTTTACTTGGTAAATGTCTCAGTTCCAGACTTCCATTGTACTCTGATATGCAGTAATTTTTGTTTTTCAATCTTTTGTTGCCAGTTAAATCGGAGTGACAGTGACAGTTCAACCCTGGCTAAAAAATCACTGTTCGTGAGAAACTCCACTGAACGGCGCAGTTTGAGGGTCAAAAGGGTATGTATTCCCTCAGCCACGTTCCACTGTCCCTGGACCAATCCAAAATTGTGACTTGTACAGCACAAACTCCAGAACCACAGAATGAATGTCAGTGCTCCATGCACTTAGCCTACTGAATGCAGCAACTGGCACACACAGAGACGCAGGTGCCATGGCTGCTATGGAGACGGGGGTGTGTAGAGCATTTACTCATCATTGGTGCGGAACCTGTGATGGTTAAGGCTGGATATGTAGCTTCAGTATCTCTGGAGAAGGGGCCTGCTGAGCCTGCAGGGGTATCAGACGATGGGAGAACACGTTTCTGATCACACTGCATACCATGTCCAGGTCTTGAGCAATTGCGGGAAGTATAAGACCTGCTACCTTTTCTGAAGGACACACATTCTGGTAAACTGGTTACACACACAGAGAGTCAAAACTTATTCTGAAATCAGAATAGGGATAGACAGGGCCTCTCCCTTCCATTTGGCCCGAGCACTACCATTATTTCAGGTCTTCAAACTAGAGTGCTTGTTGAAATTGAGTCCCTCCTTACTCATATCAAATACTACCAGTTCTTATTAAGGATCATTTATTTTGCATTCAGACTGCCAGTAACCTAGACAAGAAGTACCTCCTTGTTTCCCTCTTCTGGTACAGTGTCACCTCTCACCCAGCCTTGCTTAAAATCTCTTCCTCAAGGGAATGTGCCCTGACCCCGAGTGATCTGTCCCCTTCCCTGACATCCTGTGCACTCCTGCCCTCGCTCACAGCTTCCTCTTGCTTAAGGTCTCGTGTCATTCTGCAGTTGAAATCTTCAAGGGCAGAGATTCTGTCTTCTCTTCCTAGTAGTTTGCCTGCACAGCCCCAGCAGACGTTTATTTCATGTGTGTTCAATAGTTATTGCTTGATGAATGGGTATGATTGGCCCTGGGAAGAGCCGTGGTGATTTAGTGGTGAAAGTAAGCAGCACACAATGGGAAATCAAGGAAGGCAACTCAATTTAAGCATTCTGATTAGAGGAGAGAGTCAAAACTTAGCAACATTGACCAGCTGTATTCTGCACGGCTCATGGAAATGGTAGAGTTATGTGTCCTAAAATGGAGGAAACAGAAGTGTCTTACAATGTTTTTATTTATCACACAAGGCAGGCTTCATGCAATGAATTGGTCAGGCTAAGTTAGCCAGGCTGTACTGTGGTAACAACTTTAAAAACTTCTGTGGTATAAAACAATAAAGGTTTATTTCTTGCCTAGCTACTGGTTCACTGCAGGTTGGCAGGAGGCCCTGCTCCATGTTGTCTCACTCAGGGCCCATGCTGATGGAGCCTCCCTCTGTGGTTCTTTGCTCTCCCTCTAGCAGGGGCAGAAACGTGCACCTCTCCCACTGGCCTTGACAGGCTCCTGCTGGAAGTAAGGCACATCCCTCCCACTCTCCTGCCATGGGCCAGAGCAAGTTGCTCCTGCCACTTAGGCAGCTTAGGCCCTGGCTTCTAGGGCGCAAGGAGGCACCATCCATTGTGCGCCAGGAAGGAGGGAAAGCAGAGTACCCGCTGCCTGTATAACCAGGGTGTTCGTCATTCTGTTTCCCACTATCCAGACGGTTTGCCAGTCAGTCCTTAGAAGAACAGCACAAGAGTGCCCAGTGCGGACATCTCTAGATTTGGAACTGGACCTTCAGGCATCTCTGACCCGGCAGAGCCGCCTCAATGATGAGCTGCAGGCGCTCAGGGACTTGCGGCAGAAGCTAGAGGAACTGAAAGCTCAGGGAGAGACTGACCTTCCACCTGGCGTGCTGGAGGACGAGAGGTTCCAGAAGCTTTTGAAGCAAGCTGAGAAGCAGGTACACAGCTCAGGGTCTGTCATCTCGGAGGGGCTTACATCTTTTTTAAAGCATGCCATGTAGCAGGTACCCAACTAACACTTCTGTTTTGTGCGTAAGTCTTTAGATGTTTTACTACGCCTTGAAACTCATTTTTCTCCACTGTTATGGGCCCTTTTTTTTTTCCAAACTAGAAATGTTGAAGGAATAAGGAAGCTGGGAAAGTGGGTGTGGCAGCAGGGGATGGGTGTGGCCAGTGGGGGTGAAGGCCTTGCCAGAGGGGAAATGGGAAATGGTCATAATTTCTCCGAATTTCTCTCCATCTCAACATAAGACTTGGCAAATAAATACAGTGTAACTTTTAGCATAAGTGAGACATTTTGTTTCGATTTTTCTATGGATATCTCTTTAAGATTTATTAATCACATCAATTGTGAAATACATTGCTAATTTTGATGCTCCTAAATTTTCACTTTCATTCTTATCTTAAAGAAAAAGTATGCTTTGCTATTGACATTCTCTCTACCTTTCACCCTACAAATAACTATACCAAATAAAGATGAAATCACTGATTAAAAAATAGAGTATTTTCAAAGAAACTGTTTCCATTATTTTGCTACCTAAATATTACTGACATTTTCAAGAATCTGCATACATATGAAATTGATTTACTTTCTCAAGAGTAGAATTTATTTTTTGATTTAGGAGTGTGTGTGTATTCATATCCATGTAGTAGCAAATAGAATTTTCCATATAGCTGAAATACTAATATTACTAATACCAAAACATTGTTTTCTTTCAGTCCCTTTGGATGGGAATGTAAGATAGATTAGGTAGTTCCCTGAAACTAACAGAAAATGTTGTCTATGATATAAACTGCTCTTTTTGGCGGAGAGTTGTTATTTGATCATGCAGTGTATAGTACCATCAGGAAAGTTTGACTCATTCAGCTAACTGGAACTACTCATCCTAGATGGAACTCAGAAACTAAATGAATGAATTTCAAGAATCAAACTGACACCAGTAATCTTTAAAGAAACTTTAAGCAACAAAATGTATTACATATCTGTATCATATCCCACCTGATAGAAGGAAACCTTCACATTGAGTTGGACCTCAGTGTTTGCTCAATCTGAAGTTGAATGGTAGGCCTTACATTTGCCACTGCAGCAAATATAGGATAATTAGACATTGCCCTGGTTTCATGAAGGAAATGTGCTAGACATACCAGGTCCATGAGAGTAGTGCTTCCTGGGGAGATCAGGAGAGGTTTCATGGAGGAAGTGACACTTGAACTGGCTTTTAAAGTGGGCAGTGGAGGCCAGGTATGGTGGTTCGTGCCTTTGGAGGTCAAGGCGGGTGGATCATGAGGTCAGGAGATCGACACCATCCTGGCTAACATGGTGAAACCCCATCTCTACTAAAAATACAAAAAATTAGCTGGACGTAAGGCAGCTACTTGGGAGTCTGAGGCAGGAGAATCACTTGAACCCAGGAGGCAGAGGTTGCAGTGAGCTGCTATTGCGCCACTGCACTCCAGCCTGGGTAACAGAACAAGACACCATCTCAAAAAAAAAAAGGTGAGCAGTGGAGCTTCATAGGGGTGAGAAGCCCAGGACCCTCTATTAGTAAAGGTCCAGCAGGTGGCAGGTAGTCTTACGAAATGGAAGACTGAATTACAAGCAGAAATGACTTGCTCTTGTGTTTGCAACCTCTGTAACCATCATTTTTACTCTCTTGAGTTCTTAACTCAATATTAGCAGTAATTTCAAACACTTGGTTGACTTTGACCTACTTTAATGTCATGGAGAAGCATTGCAATCTTTGACTCTTACGGGTCAAAGCCTTCCAAAGCTGAACTGGAGTTTTACAACTACATATGTAAACAGAACTTTGTATCTTTGGGTCTTTGGTTGGTTGTTCACTTCTAGGGTGTCATGATATGAAATTCCAAATCTCTAGATGCCAGTTATTACTAAAACTATGGGACTTAATTTTTTTTTTACTTAATATCATAATGCTAAGGTTCATCCATAAATTGCTTCTTACTGCATTTCATTTTTTTTTGACTGCTATCCACTCTCCATTGTGTAGAGAGAAGTTCAGTAAAGCAAAAAGTTCTTTAAAAAACTGAAGGAAAACCAGAAAGCTCTGGCAAAATTAATGAAGCGAATATACAAATAAAGAACATTATAAAAGTAATCAGGGAGAGGACTACAGGTAAATTTGAGATTTACAAAATAATTACAGCTGAGGTGGGAGAATCACTTGAGCTCAGGCATTGGAGACCAGCTTGGGCAACATAAGGAGACCTCATCTGTACAAAAAAAGAAATAAAAATAAAAAATTCACGAGGCATAGCGGCATGCACCTATAGTCCCAACTACTTGGAAGGGTGAGGTGGGAGGATCACTTTAGCCCAGGAGGTAGAGGCCGCAGGGAGCTGTGATTGCGCCACTGCATAGGTGACAGAGCGAGAACCTGTCAATCAGCATTGAACAATTAAAAAATAAATACATAATTAATGCATACTCTCTCTCTCTCTCTCTCTCTCTCTCTCTCTCTCTCTCTCTCTCTCCCTCTCCCCCCTCCTCCCCCTCCCCCACCCACCCTCCAGTGCTTTGGGAGGTCAGAGTGGGAGGACAGCTTGAGGCCAAGAGTTTGAGACCAGCTGAGTGACATATCAAGATCCCATCTCTATAAAAAAAAAAATTTTTTAAGTTAGCTGAGCATGGTGGCACCTATGTATATAGTCTTGGCTGTTGTGGTGGCTGGGGCAAGAAGATCACCTGAGAGTCCCCAGAGGTTTGAGGTTGAAGTGAGCTATGATCGCCCACTGCACTTCAGCCTGCATGGCAGGAAAACATAATTGAATACTGTAAGAAATAGATGCCCACAATTTGGACATATATCTAGGAAAATATGCTAGAATGGATGTTTGGAAAGAATAAAAAGGATAGAAAATTCTATAACTCTCTTAAAAATATGGAAGCTGTGATTAAAACTCTACCCACAAAGAAAATATAAGTTCTGGATGCGTTATAGGCATTTTCCACCACACTTTCAAAGAACAGATTATCTCAATTTTATACAAACTCTTCCAGACACTAGAAAAAGAGAACACTTCTACACCTAATTTTATGCAATCAGCATTCCTAATACCAACACTAGACAAAGATACTATCAGAAGGAAAATCACAAGCCAGCCCAGTTTCATTTATGAATGTAGATGCAAGAATTCTGACTAAAAAGTATTAGTAAATAGATTCCAACACTGTATTATAAAGATAATACATGTTGAATTGTACAAAGGTTTTGTTTGTTTTGTTTTGTTTTTGAGATGGTATCTCACTCTGTTTCCCAGGCTGGAGTGCAGTGGCACGATCTCAGCTCACCACAACCTCCACCTCCCAGGTTCAAGCCATTCTGCTGTCTCAGCTTCCTGAGTAGCTGGGGCTACAGGTGTGCTCCCCAACACCCAGCTAATTTTTGTGTTTTTAGTAAAGACAGGGTTTCACTATGATGGCCAGGCTGGTCTCGAATTTCTGACTTCAGGTGATCCACCCACCTCACCCTCCCAAAGTGCTGGGATTATAGGCATGAGCCACTGTGCCTGGCAGGTTTTTTAAATATTAGAAAACAATGTATTAAAAAAAAATACATGTTGACCATGTCGAAATGTCTAAGGATATTTTTAATACTAGAGAAATCTGTTAATATTATTCATTACTTTTAACAGATTGAGGGGAAAAACCATTTGGTCAACTCAATAGATTCAGAAAAATATTGAGAAAAGTCATTGTTTCTTCATGTTTAAAAATCCCAGTAAGTTAGAGACAGGAACTTCCTCAACTTGATAAAGAATAACTTAAAGTAAATGTGGTCATAAATAGATAAACATTAGAATCATTTTCTTTAAAATCAAACACAAGACATTCAACATTGTTCTGTTCAACATTGTATTAGGAGTTCCTAAACAGTACCATAAGGCAAAAAAAAAAAAAAAAAGTAGAAGAGTAGAAACAGAAAGATTGGAAAGAAATAAAGCTGCCACCATCTACAGGTGACATTGCATACGTTAAAAAATTGGAATTTATTACAAATAGTAAGAGTTTAGCAAGATGGGTGAATAGGATACCTAAAAGGGTGAATATCAGGATATCTAAAAGCCTGTTGCATTTGTTTACACCAACCAGAAACACCTAGAACATTTAAGTAAGAAAATTATACCAGTATCAATAGCGAATATCAAGAAATACATTTAACAAAAATAAACAGTGCATTATAAAGAAAATTAGAAAACCTAGTGAGAAGAAATGTAAAAGCAAATTCGTAGAGAATTTATTACGTTCATGTAGAGCAGGAGTCAGTAAGCCTTTCCTATAAATGACCATGTATTAAGTATTATATCAAATATTACACAATAATATAATGTCATTATAATTAAATACTAATAATGTTAAATATTCTAGGCTCTCTGGCCCATATATGTTCCCTGTTGCCACTATTCAGCACTGCCATAGATAAAATGTAAATAAATGATGTATTTGCATTCCAATAAAACTTTATTTACAAAAGCAGATGGCAGGCCATAGTTTGCCAACTGCTGATCTAGAGGAAGAATTAATAATGTGAAGATGGCCAATTCTTTCTACAGTGTACCATAGAGTCAATGTAATTCCAAGCAGAATATCACATGGTTTTTCATGGATATTGATGCTGTTAATAAAAAAGTAAAGTCAAACAATCACCAGGGTACTTTGGAAAAGAATAACAAGAAGAGGGACTTGCTGTACAGGAAATCAGGATTTATTCAACTGCTAAAGTAGCAGGAATTTGTGGAAGAATTAAGAGATCAATCATGGCATGAATACAGAGCTCAGAAACAGACACATCTGTATGGAGTGTTGGTTTTTGATGTGGGTGTTATCTGTGTGGAGCATTGATGTGTGATGCCTAAGTAATAGGGAAGCCAGGAAGGCTTCTGAAGTGTTCTCTGGAAAGACAGTGTGGCAGTAGTA